TTCTCCTTGGGGAGTCATTACAATATTCGTTACTTTTTAGTTTTTATATACAAAACGAACTTTAAGTACAATCTATTTTTAATACAAGATCAAATTAAACATTGAACATTTTTAAACATATCATTTTACATTAAAGTAACAAAAACAAAATTATTTTGATAGTAATATTGTTATTTTTATAAAGTGTAAATTTAATACTGAATGGTTACACGTTTTCCTAAATTCGAAAAAATTAACAATAAAACTAATAGTTAAATTCATTACACGTTACTGAAAAACGTAACGAATAAGTTACTTTTTTCGTTACAAACAAAAGTTGTACAGAAAAAAGTGTTACGGCGTTACAAGTAACGCGTTTCTTCACAACATAATATAATAATTAAGGTGTAAATATATATTTAAGGAAAAGATTAAATAAAATGCATATATACACACCCATATATTTATTTATTGACCTTTAAATAAAATCAATTTGTTTAATTTATGTCGATCACTTAAATTAACATTTTGGATATCGTGTGTTAATATGTTAGAACAACAACAACAACGTTATTTATATAGTTGTATTAATCATATTATTTGATAAATCTGATAACATTTTTGTATTTCAATTCACTATAGTTGTAAAATTTCTATAACCATTGACAAAAAGTTGAGGTGCTATTTGACCACATTTTTATAGCATTTTTATAGTTGTAGCAATTATTTTTTTCTCTCAGTGTATATTATATATGCAAGAGGTATATGTTTAAGAGTAGTAAACACATAAAATTTACGATAAAGAATGTAACAATATGTGAAAGAAAATCTCGCCTTCTTTGTCGTAATGCTCTCAGCAGTTCTACCTGTAAACCGATACAATTACTGAACTCAGCTAGGGCATCAATCTTTCGCGAGGCACAGCTCGATTTTATTGTTTCCAAGTTTGGAAAAAATGCTTTATCTCGTAAGTTTATTAAAACTTTATTTATATATAGATGAGGAAATGTCAAATTTAAATAACGCAATCGGTGCTTTCCATGCAGTACTGTACAAAGGGTTTCTTCGTCTTCTATAGGTATATGTATAAGGGTTAATTCTTCTAAAAATTTTAGATGTTGGAGATACAACAATCCTTCGTCCAGATTGTAGCCCATATCAAATGCATAAATATCACATCTCAAATTTAACACTAAAAATGTATATGATTAGTCAGACATAATTTAACTTTATTTTTAAAAATCATAATCGTACCTGTCAAATCTTTGCATATTTTTCCAATTTCACAGAGGATATCGTTGTCAAACTTGCAAGAAGTTAATTGCAAGGACGTTAACTTTGAGCCACAAGTTCTAAGAAACGTTACGAAACGTGGACTAGAAATGTCGCATGATACAAGATTCAACTGTCGTAAGTGCTCACATCTGGATTCCAAGCTAGATAGAATTTTACACTGCCAATCACCAATAGTATCATCGGTAGACGTCTCATACATCCGCAAATCTTGTATATTTAAATATTTAAAAAGCGAAGGATCTCGTGTTAATCGATTGAAGCATTTATTCGTTTGACTCATAAGGCACAATGACCTTAAATCTAAGTATTCCAGTATTTTTAGTATCATCTCATCCTGCAAGGATAAAATATAAAATTTTAATTCACGATATTATAACAAATATTGTTATAAGAAAGAAACTTCTTTAAATATGTGTTGAATATTTTACAGGAAGCATAAAAAAATCACAACGTGGTTGCTCCTTGAATTCACTTGGAGAGGGTGTGATGCCTTTCAATTTTCCATTATTTAAATGTAAATTGCTAAAAATAATGTTGAAATTAATTGATCGTTAATATTAATAAAAATAGAATATTACTTACTATCGAAGATTACAATACCTTTTACGAATAATACAACAGTCGGAAAATTTTTCCATAAGTTGATCCAGATCCGCATTTTTGTAATCTGGTGTTAAATTGTGCATATCCTTACGGTCAGGATAGCTGCAATTAATATCTTTTAATAGATCGGTCAAACTCTGTTTAGGATCTTTAGGTTGAATCAATTCTGATGTTCCGATGAGCTCTACATCTATCTGTATTCTCTCAGCGATAAACGGCAATATTAATCTGAGCATTTTAGTTTTAAAGTCACAGGCCCGTAAAGCCGGGGACAACAGTCGTATTGTATGTTTTCCTCCAGTCCATAATAAAAACCACCGATCAGAATCTCGCGCCCAAATTTCCATTATTATACCAGGATTCAGTCCTTGCTGTATAGAAACCCTAATTGGATATACAGCTTCTTGAAACTCGAAATCTACAAAGTAAATAATAGAACTGCAATTATTTCTGAACACAAGCATATTTTCTTTAATAATACCTTATTTGTAAATTCAAATATTACATACCAACATAATTATGACGCATGTTCTCAAAGAGAGTGCAATCTGATGAATGATCTGCTTCTTGCAGGTATGAAGATTTTGAAATACTGAAACTGTCTTTGACAAGTACCTGTATTAAGAAAAAATGTCAAATATTACAGAATCTTGCAGCATAAAATGAAATTATGAGTATTTTTTACAAAACATTAGCAGGTAATATTTGGAAATAACACATACACTTCCTCGAGATCTCTTGAAGTCTATAAATATAGTAGGCAATCCATTTATATTATAATTACAAGAAATTTCTGGTCTTCCAATATACCTATTGGAATATATTTTCAGATACTCTAGAAGTTGAAGCTGTTCAACTTGAAATCCTCTTTTGCCTTGGCTTTTGCGTATATGTGATTGATGGATAAAGTCAACATGATCCTCTTCTACATTTACCCTTTTGATATCTATACTATTCTTCGAATTTGATACGTAATGGGACATCGTATTTTCTGAGAAAAATGAAATATAATCTCGATAAAGAATTAGCCAGCACTTTGTCGCCAAGTTGGCATTAAATATTATATATAATGCACCAGCAATTTTGACACCAAAATCTGAGGGAAGTAATTTGATACCACATTCATGTAAGAAAACCGAGCAAAATCTATTAAGTATCTGGTAGACGTGTATAAGCGTAACGTGTCATCTAACTAGTAGCACAATATAGCAGAAATAATGTAAATCTAATGCTATGTATGTTGGGTGTAATTGATCCATGACATGGATTCAACATTGTAAAGTGATCGCCGCCTCTTACAGTTTACATTTAAATATGCCAACATTAGTTATCAATGCAAAAATGTAAAATACATTACCATTTCCCGACAGCTCTTAGGAAAATTTAACTAAATAAAATTAAAGTTTCAAAAGTAAATTTTCAGCTGTAAAAGTTTATTTTTATAAATTAAAAGTTTTCTTGTGGCGAGCTTGGCGCAGAGAAATGTGCGCTGCTATAAATGAACGACAAAATCCTATTTCGAATCCAGCGGTGGATATAACTGATGGTTTTTTGGACGTCAACATTTTAAGTAATATATTTGAATAAAATTAACAAATATTACTGTTTTGGTGAAATAATTTTTCAAATTGTGTTTTTTTACAAAGAAATGTTAAAAAATATTAGGAAATATAGTTTTTTTACAAGAAAATATGAAATATTCCTGGAACGCGTTATTTTCGAGCCTTTCACACACTGTGTGCACAGGGCACGAAGATATGTGGGATAGAAAAATGCGGAAGAACGCTGATTGCCTGTATGAATCACGCAGCATCCTGTGTCCCGCATGCTGATTCCCGTATTGTATGATTTCACCCTTAGTTCGTTCTGTTACTGAACGAACTCATAGACATACATAGTATACAGGGTGTCCCGAATTTAAATGTCCAAACTTCGGGAGCGTGTAGGGGATGATAAATAAAAAGTCCTTTGGAGATATGCTCGTTTTTACTTCGTTTTGGAAAAATCGCAAAAAAGAAAACGTAGTTTTAATTTTTGTATTTATTTACTATTTATTCATTCATTCATACTTATTTATTCATGTTGTCACTTGCTTAATGTAGATATTGTTCAAAATGTTGGCCTCTTGCTGCAATGCAAGCATTGCATCTATATAGTACGGACAGCTCGTGTTGCAGCCAAACACTGATCTGGTGATATTTGGTGCATTGCAGCCACGATTCGGTCTCTTAATTGCTCTCTTGAGGTGACTGGCAATGAATAAACTTCCTGCTTCAGGGCCCCCCACACAAAGAAGTCCACTGGTGTCAGATCAGGTGATCGGGGTGGCCAAGATACTACTCCTCCACGTCGAATCTTTAGTGGGACCATTTTTTTACCCGACAGATTAAACGCAGCCAGATATACAGATTTTTTGGGGACAGACTTTCGTAATTATTTAGAAGACATCCACCTGCAACAACGGATTGAGATGTGGTTCCAGCTCGATGGGTGTCCAGCTCATTATGGCAGAGCTACTCGAGCTTGGCTAGATAGGCA